AAGGGAAAGTAAAAAAATTGAGAAGTAGTGTGTATTGTGAGACAGGAGTTTATGTAATGTGACTGGAACATACTATATATAGGTAGGTGGGGTGTATATTATCTTAAAGTGTTAGATTTAAGAGAAGTAACCTGCTTTAGGACTTAGTGGTTTTTTTTTTAAATAGTCTCCTTATGGATTGACTATTATATACCTTCTTGTTTAATTTTCCAGTTTTGTATTGATTCTGAAACCAAGACGTAATTACAGGGATTTATTATATTTATTAGCCAAAAGTAATTAAAATATAGTGTATAGAAGTTTACCTGAAATTTCTTTAAATCATAGAATTCAAGATTTTAAATGATTTAATTTTCAGATGTTCCAGTGTATTTTTGGCAACAGCTTAAAGTTTTGACAAAGAAATACTTTTGAAGGGAAGTACCTTTTCTTAATCACTGATTCCTAGTTGATTGGGGAAATGATTCTTCTCTTTTGGTATTTATTGATCTTATCTAAAGATCAGACTCTTTTTTTTCTTTATAATATGATGATAGTAACCTTTTAAATCTTGAATTGACTTAATAGGAAAGGTGTTTTGCTAAAGATATTTTGTTTGCTCCAGATTTAAGTTCACATAAAATGAGCAACTCATATGGTGAAATATGATCCAGGAAGGGCTAGAACTTGCTTTTGCTTGTTTTTTTGTTTTTGTTTTTAAGTGGGCTCCATGCCCAACGTAGAGCTTAAACTCACCTGTGAGATTAAGGGTCAGTCACATGCTTCCACTGATGGAGCCAGCCAGACTCCCCAGCTTTTGCCTGTTTGCTTGTTATTCTGCCCTACTCATGTCTTCCAGCTTTCCTTTCCATTAAACTTTTTTTTTTTTCTACATGTTTAGATGTTTTCAAGATTGGTGTGTAACTTTTGATTTACAAGTATCTTTGCTGCTGACCAAGACTGGGCAGTCCGTAGAAATAGAGAGTAGAGATGGAGAAATTCTCTCTCTTTCCATTCCAGTGTTAACTGTAGAATAGAAATAGAGGAAAAGAGAAAATCAATAAAGGATTTCCACTGAAACTATTTAACTTTAGTCTGTGTGTGAAATGTAGATTCTGAAATACAATTTAGCTCAGATAATACACCCCTGAATAAGTAGAATAGTTTTTATTTTGAAAATCATGGGTTTTTTGTACATTTTCTAGTTTATGGTTCACATAACTATGTACTTGAAAATTTGAAAATTCTCATTTTTTGCATTGATCTATTCAGATTATTAATTTTCTCAATTTCATCGTTTTTTATTGCAATATAATTGACATATAACATTGTGTAATTTTAAGGTATACAAAATGTTGATTTGCATATATTGCAATATGATTACCACCTTAGCATTAGATTAGCTAACAGCTCTATCATGTTGGAAATTCTTTTTTATTTAATTAATTTATTTACTTTTTTTTTTCAAGAATCCTCTTTTAAACCTGTTTATGTGTATAGAGAACATGAGTGGTTATTTTAAAATACATTTTGGATATACTTAACTATTCTTATAAAAATAATATTTCCTGTAGCCAAATGTAATTTTTGATGTTTATAAAGTACCTTCTTCCATTCATAGTAACACTTTGCTCAAGATAAATTTTATATATATATATATATATATATATATATACACACACATATATATATATTATATATATACATTATATTATATATATATATTTTTAAGGATTTTATTTATTTACTTGACAGAGAGAGCAAGAGAGTACAGGCAGTCAGAGCAGCAGAGGGAGAGGGAGAAGCAGGCTCCCCACTGAGCAGGGAGCCTGATGCGGGGCTCAATTCCAGGACCCTGGGATCATGACCTGAGCCAAAGGCAGTCACTTAACTAGCTGAGCCACCCAGGCACCCCAAATTATATTTCTTTAGTAGGCAGTATGTGTTGGTGTGTTTAAGAACATGATTGTAATTGAACTTTTTTCAGTTAGGTACAGCATTGGAAATAGATGGTAATTAACTATAACAGACTAAAAGGTTTAAAATATCAATTCCCAAATCAATATATTCTTTTTTTTTTAAGATTTTATTTATTTATTTGACAGAGTTCACAAGTAGGCAGAGAGAGAGGAAGGGAAGCAGGCTCCCCGCTGAGCAGAGAGCCTGATGCGGGGCTCCATCCCAGGAGCCTGGGATCATGACCTGAGCCGAAGGCAGAGGCTTTAACCCACTGAGCCACCCAGGCACCCCCAAATCAATATATTCTTAATACTTCCTAAAAATATTGATTTAAGGGGGGCCTGGATAGCTCAGCTGGTTTAACATGTGACTCTTGGTTTCAGCTCAGTGGGGCTCTGCACTCAGCGGGGAGTCTGGTTGAGATTTTCTCCCTCTGCCCCTCCGCCCACTTGTGCATGCTCTGTCTCTCAAAAATAAATAAATCTTTAAAATATATATATTTATTTAAAACTTGAGAAGGTACATTATTGTATGCTTCAAACTCCAAAAATTGTAGAAACATACACAGTGAGAAGTCACCTTCCACACAGGATGTTATTATTTTCTCTCCAGTGTATCCTTCCAGAGATATTTTTAACATATACAAATACTGCATATATGTGTTCTTTTATCAAAAAACCTACTTTGAACACAGTTTTGTATATTACTTTTTTTTTCCATTTAACATATCATAAAGATCTCTCCACAGTGGCACACCGTTATTACACCATGATTTAACCAGCTCCCTTTGATTGTTTCCAGTCTTTTGCTATTACAAATAATGTTACAAATGAATAAAAAGAGACCTACCTCATTTCACCAGTATGCAAGCAGATTTATGGGACAAGTTCCTAGAAGAGAATTGCTAGGGTTATATGCTTTGTAATTTTGGTAGATATTGGCAGTCTCCCTGATAGGGAGCAGTATTTCACGATTTGGGGGAGGGCTATGCTCCCCTTGTGTTTGAGAGCTGATTTATGTGAACTGTTCAGATCCTTTTTTTCATTTTTTCCCATAAGATTAATCATGTCCTTTGTTCATTATATAAATTTTAAATACTTTTTCTCTGTGTTTATTTGTCTTTTGATTTCTGCTTGGCAAAAACACTATGAACATTTTTTAAAACATACTGTGTATGAAGGAAATTTCTGAGTTCTGTTTAGAAATGCCGTCCCTAGTATCAGTTATTCTTCCATCTTTGTGGGGATACTTTTATCATTTCATTTTGTGCATTTTGATATTTGATATATTTGGACTTTATCCTTGTATAAGGTATAAATACAACTTATTTTTTTCCAGATCACTACCTAAAGACACTATCATTACTTATTAATAAATTATCCATCTTTTTCTACTGATTTAAATAAAATACTGTTCTCACAAACTTCTCATGTATTTGATTCCAAAGATATGTTTTAATGAAATCAGTGTCTTAGAGATATCTGAACTCCCATGTTTATTGCAGCATTATTAGTGATGGCTAAGATATGGAAACAGTACACGTACAGATGAATGGATAAAGAAGATGTAGTTTGTATATATACACACACAATAGAATATTATTCAGCCACAAGAAAGAAGGAAATCCTACTGTGCAACAGTATGGATGAATCTGAAGGGCATTTCGCTGAGTGAAATAAACCAGACAAAGAAAGACAAATGATGTGTGGTACCACTTACACGTCAATCCCAAAAAAGAAAGAAAGAAAGAAACCAATTTCATGGAAACAGATTAGAATGGTGGCTCCTAGGGGTTTGGCGGGGGGAGGGGGAGGGGGACGGAAATGAGGAGATATATGTCATAGGGTACAGACTTCCAGTTACAGGATAAGTTCTGAGGACCTGATGTACAGCATGGTAACTCTAGTTAATAATACAGTACTGTGTACTTGAAATTGGCTGAGAGTAGCTCTTAAGCCTTCTCACCACACATGCACAAAAAATGAGTTAACTGTGAGGTGACGCACATGTTAATTATCTTGATCTTAGTAATCATTAACAGTGTGTATGTGTAGCAAATAATCACATACACTATGTATGATTATATTTCTCATACGTTCCTCGATAAAGCTGGAAAATATAAATATATTTTAATATCTAGTAGGATGGCAAGGCTAGTCCCTCATTATTCTTATTTGGATTTTTCCTGCCTATTCTTGTTTTTTTTTAATATGAACTTCAGAATTAGTTTATTTGGTTAAAAAAAAGTTGTTTTATTATAATCTCACTTTAGTTGTTGATTTAAGTAGTAGTAAGTTGATTAGTTGTTGATTTAAGTAAATTAAATTGTTAATTTAAGTAGGATTAATACCTTTATGATGCTGAGTTTCCATTCTGAGAACAATGGGGGTGCATTTGTGTGTTTTAAGAATGTTTTAAAGGTATCTTTATATAGACTTACTTAGTTTATTTCTTTGTTGTTGCATTGGTAAATAGAGTCTTCCATTATATTTTCTAACTGGTTATTTGTAAATATGAAAGCTTATTTCTGGGTACCAATTTGTACTCAGTAACCATTTCAAGTTCTTATTGTTTGTATTAGCTTTTCAGTTGATTTTCCAATACACAACTATTATCTATAAAGAGTAATATTTTTATCTCCTTCTTTCCAAATTATTATACCCTTTCTCTTGTCTATATTTGCTAGAAATTCCAGAACGATATTAGATAGATGATAAAAAAAAATTGTGGTAGAATACTTTTTCTAAAAGCTTCTTGTATTTTAAGACAGATGTTTCCTTATTTCCTTTTTAAACTCGAGGCTAACTTTTGGTGGACTGATGTTGATAATTCTTTCATATTGGAAATATTTATCAGTCCTTTTAAAGAGTTTTCATCAATAGAGGATATAAATTTTTTAGATGCCTTTTCAGCATCCATTGATATATGAATTTTTTTCTTCTTGAGTCTATTAGAATGAAATATGAGTAGATCTTCCCATCCTTAACTATCATTGCATTGTTGGGTAAACCCCACATTGTCAAGGATGATTAGTTTTTAATATTCAGTGCTTTTTCTCACAGGTTTACCATGTTCATTCTGACAGCTATGAGACACAAAATCAGCACTATGGAAGAAGCTTAACAAAAGAAACTCTAAAAGATGGTATGGATTGAAAAACTTATTTCAATACTTTTATTACTGCACAGTTATCAAAATAATTCTAAAATAATTTCGGTCTCAGTTCTTTGGTGTAATTATGGTATAATGATTCGATCCATAATAAATAAATGTAAACCCTTAAATTTGCAGTTGGATTATTCATAATCCCTAGTTTGTAATACACCAAAACTATGAATCCTTGAGTGCCTTCTTTTATTTTAGTTCATTTCTTATTATACATTAAAAAATAATGAACATCTGTGAACCAGCCATATAGTTCAAGTCCTGAAACTAGAGGTTGTTTTTCTAATCCTAGTGTGTAAATCATAGTGTATTAAAACTGCTTTTTACATTAAGAGACTTTAAGATGTATATTGTATGTAATGTATTTTTATCGAAATCTCCCATGTCTAATTTAGTTGTATATTATAAGCTTCTAGAACCACATAGTAAAAATAAATGGCATTAGAAGTAGTTTAAAGCCTGCTAACATAAATGCCTCTAAAATAGTTATAGCCGAGCTATTACAAAAGCAACGAGACCCTAATAGGTTCCTAGAAATAATATTCTATTAAAAACTTTATTCTTAGCTTTGCCTAAGATGGGAAAGAGCTTATGTGTAGTGTAGTTTGAAAAAAATTTTTAATTTTATATATAAAAGACAAACATACACAGTGTGATCTTAACAGTATTTGCCTTGGTTTATTTAACCAATAGCAGGATAATACTCAGATTGGCTCTTTGTTAAAATATTTTGCAGGCTAATGTGAGTATACATTTTTAGCAATTTCTATCCATAGTGGGGGAACAAACTATTTAAAAGCAGAAATCAAGTTATATATACCCATAAATTCTCAAATATGATAAAATAAGCATAAACAACGTGAAAAGAGGCTTAATAATCTGATAGTTTAAAACACGTAAAAGTCTCAGTTTTGAATCACATATTCAACCTGGAGTAGCTTTGATCCCAAAGTGAGCTTAACTTTTGTGAAGACTGATTTAATCAATGTTATTAAAAACAGAAAGAATTTATTATAGTTATGATTTGGTATTTTGGTAATGGGCCGTTGTTGCCATTACAAGTAGTTGTGATTTGACTCTAGGTTTTAGATTAGCTCTTGAATGTGATTCTAACAAACAAGTAATCTTATTAAAAATAAATCCCTCACACTAGCAAATGAAGCAAATCTTGGAATCACATTCCTTAAGAGAATATATATATAGAGAGAACTAAACTACCAGTCTTTGTGTAATAATTTTTTTAATCTAAATAGTATGTTTCACTTTACCTAAGTGTCATTTTCTAATAAGAGAATCTTCACTAAAAATTATGTTGAGGTTCAGGTTTCTATGTCTGACTAGAATTTTACCTGTTCAGCTAATTGCAAGGGGTGATAGGAAGAAATTGAAGAATTGTATTTAAGATGAGTTTATTTCCCATGTGATAGCTAGTTCATAATTTCATTATAATCCTAATATTTTCCTGTTTATAGGAGTCTCCAGGTTTTTTCATAATGGATTCTGCTTAAGAAAAGATGCTGTTGCTGCCAGTATTCAGAAGATTGAGAATATTCTGCAGTGGTTTGAAAATCAGAAGCAGCTTAATTTTTATGCAAGTTCATTACTGTTTGTTTATGAAGGTTCATCTCGGCCAACTACTACAAAATCAAATGACAGAACTTTGGTAGAAAAACTTTTGTCCAAAGGGCAACTGTCAGACACAGATGTACTAGAGTACAATAATAACTTTCATGTGTTAAATTCCACAGAGAATGGAAAAATAGATGCTTCAGTGGGCAAAAGCCTCTCCAAGATGTATGCTCGTCACAGAAAAATGTGTTCAAAAAGGCATCACAGTCAGACTTCATTGAAAGTTGAAAATAGAGAGCAAGACAATGGGTGGAAAAGCATGTCACAGGAACATTTAAATGGAAATGTACTTTCCCAACTGGAAAAAGTTTTCTATCATCTTCCCACTGGTTGCCAAGAGATTTCAGAAGCAGAAGTGCGAATGATAGATTTTGCTCATGTGTTCCCTAGCAACTCAATAGATGAGGGATATGTTTATGGGCTGAAGCATTTAATTACTGTACTGCAAAGTATTTTAGACAATTGAATCCTTTGCTGCAGTCTTTGTAAGGGATGGGGCAATCATAAGAGCAGCAGTCAATATCTCTGTACTTGTAAAGCTATGTAAAAAATTTATATTGTGAGTCTACATTTTGTCTTTATACTTTTGGTAGGAGGGTTATCTTTTTTATAATCTTACTCAGGAAAACTAATTATTTGCTCATTAGAAAACTATGAAGAATAAAGAAACTTAGGAATCTTAAGCAGGGAATGTGGTGGTACATGGCTTAAACATCTGGCTGAACCAAGATGCAAACCATTATTCAGTCATTAAGAGTTTATTTAGCTTTCTGTAGCCAATTTGTCATGAAATCTCTGTCCACTGAACCCTGACAATGAGCCATATCTAAACTCATTAAATTAATGGAACACTTTTAAAAATCTAGAAAGCACAGGTTGATGTCCTTGGTATTACTATGTAGGAAGTCATTAAAACTGGAGAAAATTCTACTTCAGAACAATTAAGTACTGTTTAGGTTTTATGTTAAAAGTTCAGACCAGCATATCAAAAGGTGCTTCTTAGTAAAGCGATTTAGAATTATTGCATTGCAAAAGCAGATTTTCTCTTTAATTTCCATTAAAATGGACATTTCAATATATTATACTTCATGAGAAAGATAATTAAACAACAAGAACAACAAAAATCTTGAAATTAAGGTCACTAATTATTCTCGTCAGGGTTAGGAGAAGAAATAAGTTATTTGCAAGGAACAAAATGGTTTTCTTTGAAAATCTTTCATTGATGTGAAAATTGGAATATATATTTACTACATTTGAAAAGTGCTGTAAACCATATAATACTTTTTGCTCTAAATGCAGCTTCAAAAGGTAGATGATTGAAGCTTTGTCTTATTTCTCCTTTAAATAGCTTGAGAATTTTCTCATTTAAAATTCATGTATTTATATATCCCTATTTAGTTCAACAGTAGTATAAATATATGTTGCCAAAAAAGTGCTTCTCAGAATTTTAGTAAGCAGTGAAGGACACCATCAAGTGTTGTGTTATCAAAAGTACCATGTAAATTAGTGCATCTCCAATAGTTCGGTGCATATCTAAATTCATGCTTCTATGTCACTCTTATTCAAACAGTTTTATACCCTATTCCAGAGAGAAATTACGATTTAATTTTGTGATAGGTGGGGGGAATGCTATTTTTCCTGGAAAAATGAGATTTTTAAGTATTATCTGCATTTCACATTTACCACCTTTTAAAAAAACAGTTATTGAAAAAGGATTTACAAATATGTTAGCTGTTTATGAAAGCATTAATTGTACTTTGACTTACTAATAACACATCTAAGTAGTTAACAGTTTTGACATATTCCTGAAAAATGTTTTAGATTTGTGAGCTGTTGGACTTTTCCCTCTTTTTCCCCCTAGAATTACAAATTAAAGTTTTAAATCTAAGCAGATTTTTTTGGTGTGGAGGAAAGTATCACAATTTTATCTTTATCTCTAAGCGTACTTTGCAAATATCTGAGCACAGACAGAAGTACCAAATGCTCTATGATTCTGTGTTTGGTAAATCTATTAAACCTGAATTACTTTAAAATTCATATACATTTTGTTAGAGCAAAAAAAATTTTTTTTAGAGTCAGTATAAGTATTTTTCGTAGAGACTTCATATTTTTCTTACTGCCTAAATGGGTATTGGCTATAGCTTTTGGGGGGAGATAAATTTCAAGTGCTCATAAATAGTCAAAAAATTTTTAATTTTACCTTTTTTCTCCTACAGTATAGACTTCTGTTGTTGTTCTTATTTGGACAGTAGTTCAGTAAGTCTTAATAAGCTCAGATAATTAATAATTTTGAGTCTTTTAACAAGAGTTTTTTTGTAACAGATGGTATCGGTCTATGTATAGTAAATTTAATAAATCTAAGTATTACCAGACTTTTGCACATTTTAGCTCAATAAAGTGTGAATCAGCTTTCTAGATTTTCTTTATCCATATTTGGAAATACAGTTTTGGAAAAATCAGTGTCTTACCTTTTTGATACAGTAGATAATCTTGGTTTTGTTTTAATAAAACAAAAAGCGCTTTTATTATTTGTTTTTCAGGGAAGGGATTACATTTAATTCTGTTTGTTTACATTTTTATCACTATTATCCAATGCCCATTTTATGTTACTTTATAAGTAATCTTACATATCACAGAGGAAGTATGTTTATGTAATCTACATGTGAATATTTTACTGTCTAGCCCAGTTTAACATTATGTTTAGCCATTTAACATTATGCTGAAATTTACCACTGTGGGGAAGAATGATCACTATTCACCAACCATATTTAAACATGTACATGTTTAAGAAATAAGCATAATAAGGATATAGTTTGGGTTAATAGGATTATCATAGGTTTTTTTCCCCCCTAGGAAACATAAATAATGATTTTAGTGTATTTCTTATGGAATGCACTCATGAAAAGGACTTTAAGAGATTGTGGATAGTATAATAATACATTTCTCTAATAAAAATTTAAATTGTATAATAGTTTTATAATAAAGTATTTACACTAATATTTTAATATGGATAGAAGTTGCATAGATTCAAATAAATTAAAAATTGATAAATGCTAAATATTTTATCTAAATAGTTTTTCAAGAAACAGTTGTGAAAATGTGTATATTAAGTGGCTCTAACATGGAGCTTTGTGGTATTTTCAACTCAGTATTCATTATTCTTTGTTTTATATGTCTAGAAAGATCATACTTAGTATTCCTCTTTACACTACAATTTGCTATTATGGGGCTTTAGATTGTGTTAAACTGAATAAGAACTTTTTTTCTGATTTTCAGTATAATTTACTATTTTATGATTTCTAAGGCAGTGTTCTTCATATTATCTCTATAATATCTATATATTGATAATATAACTTAAGAAAAGGTGATTAATTTTCAGAGATATTTCAGTTGTAATTTTCATATTTCATGCAACCGAAAACTTTTGTTTCTAGGATTTGGAATATTGTAGAAAATACAGGATGAAAGAAAATGGTATGAAACAATTTTATTTGAGGAATTACTGTTTTTAAAACACTGTCATCATTTTAGTACTCTCTTAACAGACATTTGATACTTTAAAACTTGATTTGCTCTTAAAATTGTTTACAGTGCTTTGTAATAATCTTTCTTATTCAGTGCCTTTAACCTTGATTTGATATGATTGTAGCCTCAGTTATCATTCCACTACATCCTGCAATATTTTTATAGCCTAGACAGCAATTTGTTTAAAAAAAAAAAAGTCAATTTGATCATGTAAAGAGGTAGCAATTGTCTATCAATGCTTTGGGAAGACAAGTAGAGTTGCCTATAGGCCAGGCTACTTAATTCATTAAAAAATATCGGATGTCTACCATGTGCCCAGCATTTTTGGCCCTGAATATACAGTTCAGACAAAGCCCTAACCATTGTCTGCATTCTGTCTGGATGGAGTGGGTCTGGGGACTGAATTAAAAGAGAGATACAGAAAAATATGCATTATCAATACTGAAGCTAACTAGCATTGGAGTTTGTGTAAAGATAAGGTAATGATTATTGAGCTGAGATGAAGCAACTGACAATATGTTGGGTGAAAAATAATACTTGCAGCATTATAACCTCTATTTGACTCTTGAGTTCAGGTAGTAATTATAGATAGGATAAAAAGGCCTTAATTTTTCACTTTTTTTGCTGGTAAAGGTACGTTTATTTTTAGGCTGTCCATTTAGAGTAGTGTTTTAACAGAACATTGCTGTGAAAAACATTCCATTACATATTCACAAGCAAATTACTGCACATTTTTAAAATTGTATTTTATAATTTCATACAAGTACTTTAGACCTCAGTCTCATCTTCAAACCACTGGTATTTTAAATTTGGCAATGAATATGAAATTTTTGACTTACAGAGTGATTGTATTGTTACTTAAAATGCTTGTTAATATTTTAGGAAGGTTGGAGTCTCTGTTTTTTGATGTTTAAATTGTTACTTATGTTGATAGTGTCTAATAAGAGGAAATAGCATTTGTGCGATTAAATTAGAATATACTTTTAAAAGTTTTAATTGTTAAACTTTGTCATCATGGGATTATATTTTGGCCTGGTGTTCACTTACAATCTGTTAGTAAGTTTAATTATGAAGTGAAATAGTCTCAAATAGTAATGCACCTGCATATAAATGAAATTGGTGTGCACAAAGACACTTTACTATAGGGAGTTGTACTGGAAGATTTATGAAAGCATGTGAAATTGCACCTAAAATTGTATTAGTGACTATGCTAAATTTATTTTACTTGATGAATGAATGTATTTAGTGTAGTCAAAGTTACTTTGGTTTAAATGTCTACACAATGTCCTTTTTTTAATGTGTTTGTAATTTGTAGTGTTGATGGGGGGTATTTGGACTTGGACTGCAGGGGTTATTGTCAATGTGTGATTTGTGTTTTTATTTTATAGAATCATCTAATGTGATATACCGATTTTTATAAGTGATATTTAGATAATTCTAATAACTGTATATTTGACAACCTATTAAAATGTTTTGCAATTGGAGCTTTTCTTCATTAATTGTATTATGCTAACAAACTCATGGTAATTTAAAAATAACATACTCATTCAACAAATATTTGAGTGCATGTTATGTACCAGAAACTACAGGAATCATGAAGGATTCAAGGATGATTAAGACAAGCTAGTAACAGAAAAAAAAAATGCATTGCAAATGAAAAAAATGTTAACTTTTTTGCCTGAATATTTTTCTATGAGATGTACTAAAATCTTTGGAATCAACCTTGTAGGAGAAGTGGAAAACAGGAGAACAAACTGACTTGGCTGTGAAGATACATACTGCAATTGTAAAACTTCAGAAGTGGGTAAGATAGTTTTGCCTGTATTTGAAGTTTTGTGAATCAGCTACTTAATAAGTGACCTAATTATTTTCATTCATTAAAAAGAGAGGGTATATCAAATGCCTGTCCTATATTAGGCACCATATTTGGCTTTGGAGATTTTGAAAAGCTGCCTAAGAGATTCAGTACATGTTCTCAAGATATGTACTATCTGGTAGAAAGAAAAAATAATATAAAGGGTAAAATATTATTGGGGTATGACTGATACTTAACCAATATCCAGCAGGGCTGTGAAAGAGAGGAGTCAGTTCTGATAAAATGCAAGAGGAAGAAGGGACTCATAGTCTCATTGCAATTGTGAGTCAAGGCTCCAGAAAGCTAGAGGGCATTCCTTTTTGCCTGCTACTATGAACCATGGGAAGGAGCAATACTATGTGAAGTAGTTTCTAAGACTGGCTGCCTAACTGCTGAGAATAACAGAATCCCATAGCTGTAGCCCCCTAGTTACAGCTAACTGTAAGAACTAAGTAAAAGCTGAAATGAAGTAAGTGAAAATGATCACCTGAGAATTTCATTGAAAATGCAGATTCCGATTCAGAGGCCTGGATGGGGTCTGTGATGCTCCTGGCCCACTGACCACTCCTTAGTAGCAAGATTTTCAAAAGGTTCTTTTGGTGTAGAATGTGCAGTAGAACTTAGATCACTTTTATCCAAACAACCAGAGCTATTTGAAAGCCAGGGAGAGTGCTGAGAAAGAATGTGAGAAAATAACAGCCAGTAATGGCTCACGTTAATACTGTCCATTCTTGAATGGAAGAAAAGTTCATCTGCTATGTCAGGCCATTAAACTTTCCTCCTCCAGGTCTTAGGGCTCCTGTAATAATAGACTAATCTTTTTCTATTTGCAGCTGTTAGCTTTTCACATGTGTGAACGATGCCTACTTTGCCAACTGAAGAAAACAGTCTGCATATGCTTGTTAATTACATTGTACTTGCTTTAGGGAGAAATGATGTGGTACAATTGGTTTGGATACTCAGATGTTTTGAGTTTATATGTTTCTAAGAGAAGTTAGAAAGGTTTTGGTTTTTTTTTTTAAGGTTTTTTTGTTTTAGCTGATCACAAGTGCCCTATTTTTTTTTTCAATTTCTTTTCAGTGTTCCAGAATTCATTGTTTATGCACCACACCCTATTTTTAAAGAGTGTGGTATGCAGGCAGAGAATTTTAGACTGTGAAGCCCAATGTGGGGTCCATTTCACAATCCTGAGATCATGACCTGAGCCCATATCTAGAGTCAGATGCTCAACAGACTGCGCCACCCAAGCATAAAGGAAGGTCGTTAAAATTGTTATTTATTAAACTAATACAATTTGACAAAGTGCTTTGGGATGGGCACAAAAAAGATGGTGAATGTGGAAGCATCATGTGGACACTTGTTATCTATGGAAGAATGAACAGTATCACCTCGAACATTTTAAAGATTATAAGTTTAAGGTAAATAGGCTGAATTTATAGCTTATAGGGCTTTGATCCAGTTCAAAGAGTATCTTTATTTTTGTGAGTTTGTAAAGAAACCATAACTTTTAGTTCTCATCAGTCTTAACTTCCATTTTCCACTCCCTATTATGGTCGACTCTAACCCATCCAGGTTATGCTAGAGGCAGAGAGACCAATCTCAGTAATGGGCTAGCCTGACCACTCTGTCAGCATGATTGCTGCATAACACCCTAAAATGTAGGTGGCTTAACAATTGTCCTTTATTATTTGTATGGATTTGCAAGTCAGTTTGGTGATTCTGCTGATCTTGGCTAGATTTACTAATGTTTCTACAGTCAGCTGTCAGGTCAGCTGAGTTGGGGGCTGGGAGGGGTGAGTTGTGAGCTAGTCTAGGATGGCTGGGATGACATGTCAACCTCTTTCATTAGGCTAGCCCCAGCATTTTCTTTTGGTAGTTGTGGGAGTACAAGAGAAGACGCTGAAACATGCAAACGGGTTTCAAGTTTGTTTGTGTCAAGTTTGCTATTATTGCCAAATCCAGTTAGTGTGGGCAGCTACGGGAGGGCATGATGCAATCAACCACATGCTCCAAACTCAGACCAACTCATATAGGACACCAAAATATTGCCCTGGCTTATCATGGTCTATGTTTTCATCAGGCAGCAAAGTCAGATCAAGTGGACAATGTGGGCATTCCGTTAAGAATGATCCCTTGGGGGCACCTGGGTGGCTCAGTGGGTTAAAGCCTCTGCCTTCGGCTCAGGTCATGGTCCTAGTGTCCTGGGATCGAGCCCCACATCGGGCTCTGTGCTCTCCAGGGAGCCTGCTTCCACCTCTCTCTATCTGTCTGCTTCTCTGCCTACTTGTGATCTCTGTCTGTCAAATAAATAAATAAAATCTTTAAAAAAAAAAAAAAAAAACTGCTTCACTAAAAAAAAAAAAAAAAAAAAGAATGATCCCTTGATCAGAACAGAGGCAGCAGGATAAACTGTGTGTTCAAATTTTAAAATCTCATTTGTTTTCCCTTTTTTAAAGATTTCACCCAGGTTCCCACACTTTACCTCCCCTAGGTAGAACCCTCTGGGTAGTCTCACAATGTTGCCATCCTCAGTTTGTAATAATATGTTATTTGAGGAATGGTTTGGTACTTTTTTTTTTGGT